GTAAACCCTAAACCCTAAACCCTAAACCCTAAACCCTAGATCTGCTTGATATCTGCTCCTGTGCTGTTTTTCTTGTTTCAGCGCCTATTGCTGCTGCTGTTCCTGCTGCTGCTATGGATGCTGCTGCTGCTGCTGATGTTGCTGCTGCTGTTGCTGCTGCGACACGCAAAAAAGGGTTTAGGGTTAAGGGTTTAGGGTTTAGGGTTTAGGGTTTAGGGTTTAGGGTTTAGGGTTTAGGGTTTTGCAGGTGCTTCCTGAGGCGGATCTCCAGTCTCTCGCTCTTCTTTTACAATCTGTAACAAAGGTAATTCTAGGGTTTAGGGTTTAGGGTTTAGGGTTTAGGGTTTAGGGTTTAGGGTTTAGGGTTTAGGGTTTAGGGCTTGGGTTTAGGGTTTAGGGTTTAGGGTTTAGGGTTTAGGGTTTAGGGTTTAGGTTTTAGGGTTTAGGGTTTTGTTTAGGGTTTAGGGTTTAGGGTTTAGGGTTTAGGGTTTAGGGTTTAGGGTTTAGGGTTTAGGGTTTGTGTGTTTTAGGGTGGCGATGGAGACTGCAAAGAAAAAATAAAAAAAATAAATGAAGAAATCCTGGATCGGTTGCGGTGTATATACAGCAGCAGAAGTGTTTTATATTTTTCTTTTTCTTTTTCTTCTTTTTTTTGTTTTAATATATTACAAACCCTAAACCCTAAACCCTCGCCACCATCACCACAAACCCTCAGTATTATATTATATTCTCTTTATAAAGCTCTTCCTTTATTGATAGATAAAAACAAACAAAAACAAAAAAAAAAAGAAAAAGAAAAAGAAAAAGAAAAAGAAAATAATATAAACAAAGAAATAGATATTTTTTATTATAATAAAAATAAAAAAAATAAAAAAAATAAAAAAAATAAAAACTTTATTGATTTGTTTTTTCTTCTTTTTTTATTTTCTTATAAAACCCTAGCTGCTGCAGCAGCAACACAAACCGCCAATTCTGCTGCTGCTGTTGCTGCTATTGTACAAACCCTCAAAACACAACAAACCCTAAACCCTCAAGAGCTACAGTAATATACACACTAAACCCTAAACCCTAAACCCTAAACCCTCCAGAAAAAAACAAACCCTAAACCCTAAAGAACTACACTAATATACACCCTAAACCCTAAACAAACCCTACTCACCCTAAACCCTAAACCCTCAACAATACAAATACCTAAACCCTCAAAAAACAACAAACCCTAAACCCTCAACCACTACAGTAATATACACCGTGAGCCCTAAACCCTAAACCCTCAAAAAACAACAAACCCTAGACCCTCAAGACTAACACCTAAACCCTAAACCCTAAACCCTAAACCCTGAACAATAAAAACCCTAAACCCCCAAGACATACAGGAACACAAACCCTAAACCATAAACCCTCAAAACACCCCAAACCCTAAACCCTCAACACTTTACATAAACCCTAAACCCTAAACCCTAAACCCTTGATGGTGGTTTTTGTTTTATTTCAGGGAATTAACAAAAGCAGCAGATATGTTTTTTATTGGGGTTTATAATAAACTGGGAGAGATGATGAAAAAAGGAGAAAAACTACAAACCCCCAGCGAAGTAAACCCTAAACCCTAAACCCTAAACCCTAAACCCTAAACCCTAAACCCTAAACCCTAAACCCTTGAGATGATCAGAGCTTATTTCGCCGCAGAAAAAAACGCATATCCTAAAC